CAACGAAGAGAAATAAACATAGTAAAGTAGGCGAAGTATCTAGGTAAATGAGTAAGTGCCATGCAGTGTCTACTATCAAGTCTTATTTATTTTACCATAAGATGGATATTTATATGCCCTCCCCGTAGGCATAATCCATCAAATGTCGTGAAAGAATGAATAATTTCCCGTTACCATAGAAATAACAAAATTATTTATATCATGAATACTAATAAATCTCATATATACTGGAATAATTTTGACAAAAATTTAGGCATTTAAGAATGTTCACCATCAAACCATTTATTCTTTTGTATTTTATCCTATTTAAGCTTTTCTTATTTCCTTATTTTTTCCATTGGCTAAGATTTCGTATTTCATGTTTATATTTTCAGCATTGCTTCTATGGATTATTTAGGATTTGAGTTATAACGCTTCGCTGCTTCCGAAAATCCGTTCAATCTTCTCTTTATTAATAGATCTTTATAAGTTAGTATTGACGTTACTCCTTTCAGCTCGGTTAGATATCATATTACCAGCAGAGTTAAAGTGGTAGTCAGATACTAAGCCAGCTGTTCTGAAATAAGGTTACGATATTTTTTTTTTTTTTTTTTGGCATACTGTATACACCTAACTTCGCATTTTTGTCAGATTTCAGATGGCTACAGAAGTTGGATAAATAAATTGCGTTTAATATTTCTACAGACCGCAGAAAATGTGTGTAAAAGCTCTGAAATCAATATTAGTTTTATATTTATGATGATTAAGTATAGAATAATTTCTTCAATACAAGCAAATGTAAATTAGAGATTAGAAAAAACAGTACTGTTCAGTTTTGAGGGCCGTAAAAAATCGCCAAATTATTGTTGATGCCAATGCTGCCAAAAAGAATTGCGGCAACCCTAATAATTGTGGCAAGAATGGAAGTATAATAGTAAATAACTATCTAGATTGGTGTTTTAATTTAGATGAAAGGTTAATTTCATATAATACTTTTTTATTATTATAATTTATATGAAAAAGGATAAACATGACTGAATGGAAGCATAAGAGTCAATAACTATTTCAGATCATTATTATAATTTATATAAAAATTGCTAAACATAACTGAATGGTTGCCTGCATCGCTATTTCGCTACCGACTTATCGCTAAAGCATAATTTCATCTGTCATCTCGTTGGTTGTTCAAACGTAATTTTCTATAATGAATGATGCCTTTACTTTGAAAATATTCTCGGTAAAGTGCAGAATCGCTCACGTATTTGTTTGCCGCTTTTCACAAGGGCAAAAACAATTGAATTTTTGTCAATTTTCTTTTACTTTTTAAGTGAAAATAAGTCGATGTGTACATAGACAAAGTCAAGGGTGTGCGCAGTGCCATTTTTGTGCAATTCTAGGATTTTTTTAAGTGAAAATATTTCGATGTGCACATGGATACCGAGTATGTGCAATTCTTAAAAACGCGTCAAGCAGTGGGTGATTCTGCACTTTACCCAAAATTATATTGCCTACTTTTCGTCATGGGAAATTCCCAAATTGTTAAATCAATAGGATATCAAAAAATGATTTAAAATCAAAAAAGGATTTAAAAATTAAACTAGTATTTCAATGGCGTCTTAAGAAATATAGAATTATATAAACGTACGCAATCTGAAATCAACGCGTACGCTAGATTTGGCGCGCTGTTAAATGGGCGCGTTTGCTAGATTTGGCGCTTTTGCGCATACATTTTCGCTGCAATTTTCTTACGGCCCTCAAAACAGAACAGTACCGAAAAAGTAAATTAGAAAGGTGAAATACATTTCAATACAGTCAACGTTTTAAGGGCAGAAGTCGTTAAAATACTATTTCGCAATGATTGTTGTTCCGGACAGACGGAATAATATTAATTCATCGCATGCACATATAGGTGCATTCTGAATAAGGATTGTAGAAGCTTTTGGTTTTAAATCATGTGATATGTATGACCAAAATTTTACAATGGATCCTCGAACACTTCTATGAATTCAGTCAGATAAATTTTGGACGTAACTAGAAGCTTAAATTAATTAGATTGAGTTTATTAATTCAGGTAAAGTACATGAAAGTTTATTTGTTAAAAGGAATAAATCCCCTTCACTGAGAGTTTTCTAAGAAAAGTTAACTGCTATTTTTATAACAACACAAGACGAAGGAAACACGAAACCCCAAGCAAACAGCCTGCTCAGCAACCAGGAACAAACTTCGGAAAAACTATCTAGTGTCGCCAAGCCTTTAGCCCTTCGGCGATTGAACGGCCTTTTGGAACTTAGGAGAAAATCAATTCAGTACTTCCGAAAATTGATGCGTGTTCATAATACATGCTACAAAATTGAATCTTCGAAAGGCGAAACGAAAAATGCCATTGAAACGGTTTTACTATGATACAGTTACATTTTTTAATGACAGAATGTATTTTTATATGACTTTAAAGACATTCAACGGAGTTCTAGGAACGTTTAAGAGTAAATTTAAGGTCACTCGTTTTTTCAGTTCTCACAGTCACTTCACAATTCTAGTACTTAGGATGATTTAAAATATTCGCTCATTGCATTGCAATCTCTTGCGGGGTGTGTCCCATACACTGGTTTAACCAGTATTAAGATGTTATTGGAGTCGTGATACTATTAATGTTATTTTATACTTATAATTATGCATAGGAAATGTGATCCACATACTGATCATCAAAACTGTATAGTTACAAAATATTTACTAAAATCGGACAAATGTGAAATAATTTTGGCTTCCATAGGAACTAAACCAGTGCTGCCAAAATAGTTTTAGCTAGCTTTTGATGATGAAGATGCTTATGCTGGAGAAATATCTTGATAATTTCTTTAAGGATATTATTCGTTATTATTGTGCAATATGGATCAGAAGCCAAACTAAACGTCTTTAAACAGAGGGTTTTGGCTGCATGATTAAGATATTTCAAGGTTTTGTGGTCTCCAGTCGCTTCGTTTTAGTATGTTCCAATGACATTTCGTCTTGTCTTCGAACTTTTATCAGAATTGAAATTATTTTATATAAACAAATCCATAATTTTCGCTATAGTGGCTACAACGCTTTTTAGAAATTCTAATGAAAGTTCCTTTTGTCTCTCATTTCCAGAAGCGATAATTTCGTTTTATTCGTGAACTTGTTTGTCGACTAATACACTGACTACCAATAAGTATTTGGACACCTATGCAAATGACGATATCTGTGGTCCTAAGGTACGTCACGGACTCCGCCGGTATATATCGTGTAGGAAACAGTATCGGCTTTAGTTGCATGCAAGATGTCTCGCTTTACGGAGCTCTCTGATTTCGAGAAAGGCATAATTATCGGGTATCACAAATGTGGCCGAACCTTAAGGGACATATCTAGCGATCTGAAGTACCCGAAATCGACAGTGGCCTACGTGATTAAGAAGTGGAAGGTGAGCGGTGATTGTCGGAATGTGCCCCGAGTCTGCAGACCAAAGAAACTGGGAGATAGAGACCGACGAGTGCTGTCCAGAGAAATTCGGAAGAACCGCACCCAACCGATGGTCCTCATCCGCGAGGAGTTTCAACAGGCATCCGGGAGTATTGTTTCAATGAATACCATCCGTGAGGAAGCACATCTGCTTGGTTTTTCATGGTCGTGCTGCTGCCCATAAGCCTTTGATCACAAAGTCCAACCACGCTGCTCTGTTAATGTGTTGCAAAGCACATCGAAATTGGACCACAGAATAGTGGAAAACGGTTTCTTTGGAGTGACGAATCAAGGTTCACGCTTTACCGTTCAGATATCATGGTCTGGCGTCTACCTGGAGAACGTCTCCTGCCAGAATGCATTGTGCCAACAGTCAAGTTCGGCGGAGGTGGAATTATGGTCTGGGGGTGTTTCTCCTGGTATGGGCTGGGACCCTTGGTCCCCATTCATGGTAAGCTCAACTCCGATGCATACTGCACTATTTTGGATGACAATGTGCTTCCTACGTTGTGGCAGTTTTACGGGTTGCACCTCTGTTACTTTCAGGACGACAATGCCAGTTGTCTTGTTTCGACGTCAACCAAGGCTTGGTATGGTGCCAATGGAGTTCATCGAATGGACTGGCCTGCCCAGACCTGAATCTTATCGAGAACCTCCGGACGAGTTGCATCGCCGAATTCAGAGGTGCACTACCCGTGCAAAATCGGTGAAAGAACTTCTATGTGTTCTCCAAGCCGAGTGGAAGAAAATACCACTAGCTGTCATACAAAGACTTGTGGAAAGTATGCCCCAGAGGGTCCACGGTGTAATTACCTCTGGTGGAGGCTCTACCAACTATTAATTTTGAATAAAGTTAGTTTTGCTTTTCTATCACAGGTGTCCAAATACTTATTGGTAGTCAGTGTAGGTATCTGGTAAAATCCTATTATACGGTACGACCCTGGCGCGAATTTGAAAATTGTAGCCAACGCCAAAATGATTCATTTATTACCATAAACGCCCTATTCATTGCTCATCAAAATGTCGCCAAATCCCGTGTGGTACCGTATACTAGGATTAAACCGGAGTCTTCTTTCATTTTCTAGTATTTAGAGTTTTAGAAGTACGCATAACTTGCCAAATAATATATTATTTGGCAACATATACCCCACTACTGATTAGGGATACAGACATTCAAACCACGTAGCCGAAGAAAACATAAATTTAAAAAAATTATAAATGCATTTTCTCATTCTTATAAATTGCAGGTATGGTATTATTACTATACTTTCAATATCATAATCATTTTTTTTCCTTATCTTATTGTAAAACTATGATATGTAGCATAAAATATACGTCAATTGAGGATTAAGTTTTTAATCCGATCAACACTAAATTAATAGTAATTATGGGTTTGTTTAAAATCGCACAAGATTTCCTGGGAGCATGGATGTTTAACTAGACAATTTCCACACTTTTTTAAGTGTGCTTGAATATTAAATTATTTTTTATACCTAAAATGAATAAAATATGAGTAAGTAAACAAGTAAAAATGTTTTATTTACCTTCATGAGAAATCTCTTTGCCAATGAAAGAATGTCGACATTTCGCCATTTCTTCAACTATCGCTTTTAGCTCTTCGCTCATTTTTTTCGCAAAAAATTGCAGGTATGGCATTTGGTAATAATCAGATAATCTACAGCAATCAGCTAATTACAAGATCAATCACAAAGTACATTTAAAAACTTCAGAATAAATTTCATCGCTTAAATAAGAAGATTTATGTCTACCACGAGAACAAATTATTATCTTTCATAACACCGCTGCCAAACCAGACTGAAACAAAAGTATGCAAGTTTCAGGAAAAAATTTATTTAGCAAATTGGCATATTTTACGTGCAACTAAAATGGCATATTTTAAGTAACTTACGTTAAACCTACGCTTAATTTAAGTGTAACTAAAATAAAATACTTTTATATATTACAATTAGCAAAACATCGTAAGTATAATTACGTCGTTTTTATATCTAGTATTTAAAAAATGAAGAATTCATACGTGGGTTTTCGTGGTTTTCCCCATGTGTATCAAAGATTGTACTCATGTGTTCCCATGTGTATCAAAGATGTGTATTAAAGATGTCTCTCAAAGATTGTACAATAATTCACGTCGTTATTTAAACTTGAACTGCTACTTCGCCTATGATTTTCCACTTATCTTTTTGTTATATACTTTTGTTGCTGTTTGAATGGCAACGATTATTGTTGTTCAAATTCTTTTCATTTTTCAAGGAATGTTTAGAACTCTGCGTTTTCAGATTTTTTTATGTTGTTTGTTAGTAGTGCTAATTTAAGGCTGTATTTTAACTGAATAAGTAGTTGTTAATTTTTAAAATTATCGTATTCATTCATCTGGAGGACTTATAATTCATTTTAGTGATTTAAAAGGCGTCCATAACTTTTTGTTTACAGTTGTTCTTTACAATGTCGCTGTAGAAACATAGTGCCACTTAGATGCGAGTATATCAGATTTTCACCACACGTAATTCTGAATTCTAAAATGTGAATCTCGAAGTCCGCATTTTTAAATTTCTGATTTGTTAGTCCAAAGGGGCTTTGTCCCTGAAGGACTATTGTTTTCGTTTTGCGATTTTGCGTCGGACTCATAAACGTCGGTTCACTTTTCAAACTGTTGCCACAAAATTAACATTTTGTCCTGCATTATATTTGAAGAAATTAAATAATGAAAAATCTGCATAAATGATTGTCTATTTCTCGCATTGTGATAAGACAATGGTACATAGAGCCATCGAATTTTGAATGACGAAATCGTACTGCGAATATGGGCATCTGAAATCCCAAATTTGGAATTTGTTTTATTATAGATTTTATATTTTGTAAAACTTTAACGAATTTTTGATTTACAAACTCAATGCTTTAAAAGCGAGAAATGGCAGCGTCATATAGGGAAAAAAAAAAAAAAAAAACTTTTATCTCCAGCTCGCGAGACTGTGTATATCGGAAATTCTAAAGATATGCTTAATTTAACATTATTTTGCGATATTGCTCTTGAACTGAATTTTATGGTTTAAGTGCAAAGAACATGATATTTAATAAATAAAGGTAACACTCAAAACGTTAAAAAAAACGCCCCATTTGGACGTAATTTAAAATCTGAAACATTTCAGATTTTTTTTTATACTTATTTTATATTTAATGAGAACTTTTCAAATGCTTTATTAAAAAATCCTGCTATTTAAAAGCAATGTGTTCCTAGTACCCAAAATAAAATACTTGCCACAATCCTAGTATAAGGTACTGCCAATGTCGCCAACACCAAAATGACGCGTTTAAAACCCATCCGATAATCACCAGTCTCCCAAATCCCGTGTATACCGTATACTAGGTTGAAACGTAACATTACTCACATTGTTCGCCGCTTGCCCACCAGCGGCCGAGCGGTAAAGTCGCTGAACACTGGTAGTTCCGTTAAAGACGAGTTTCCAGTTCTGCAAGATCATCCCACAGTCTTTCTGTTCGTGAAACATTAGGGTTATCTACGTCTTCTAAAAAAGCTCTTAATTCTAAAAAAGCTTCTTTATCTTCAAATATGTACTTCCTTATCGCTTTGCTTGATCAATAATTGCTCCTTTTCTTACTCGCTTCCTAAGAATGACATAAATTTTGGGAGTTCTTTGCTGCTTACCGAAATTTACCAGTGAGATTTGTAACTAAATGAAGAAACTAAATGAATCAGTTTAATCACTAATGGCAAATATCACATCCATCTCCTCCGTTATTAATTATCTATTAATATCCCATGTATACCGTAATTTACAATGGTTTAATTTACATTGGCCAAACTAAGAGAGCCTTAAAATTTCGCGTCAAGGAACATGAGGCATATGTTAGAAAAAAGGAAACACAGAAGTCTTCTGTTGCTCAACATTGTTGGTCCGAAAACCACACTTTCAATTTTTCTGCTGCCAAAATTATTCAAAAAACATCTTCCATTGGAGAATTGGATTTTCTGGAGGTATTTCACATTCATAAAAATCTTTCTGTTCTAGTTAACGATCCTAATTCCAATCCAAATTTGCCTTCGGCCTTTAAAGAAATTATGTTTTAGTTCTGGTTTCACCAACAGATGGCGCCACTTGCTTATTCTTGTCCAGGCTTTCTTATCTTAACTAATCATTATTTCCTATCTTGTTCATTTGCGGTTTTGCAGCTGAAGATGGTGTTCGGTAAAACCATCGAAACTAGTCCTGTGAAAATTTTGTAAATATAACGCTGATTTTTGTTGTTTGACTTCTGAATTGGTATTTGTTCGGCATGTTTTTGTGTCTTAATTATCTATTAATATGTCAATAAAATAGAAAATAACTATTTATTAATGTATATAGTTTATAAATGACTCAGCTTGTCATTAATTTTTTTAAATTCATTTAAATTTCATTTCAAATTCAAACTGCCCAACAAAAACTGGAGTCAGAGTCGGAGTCGATCTCTTTTTAGCGACTCCAGCTCAGACTCCTTTTACCCCCAAATCTGTCCGACTCTATGACTTCGACTTCACAGCCCTGTATAAAATGCCCAGCTGCGGTAAGATAGCTTCCCCGCAAAGCGGGTTTAGGGTTGCCAGAAAATGGCAAGGAAATGCACGGTTTCCAGATTTGACGCGAAATCGCCCAGTTGGAGACAAAATTGGTGGTATGCCGCAGTCGTAATATTCTGGTACGAATTCTTACTGGTTTGACCCAGAATGTTCTCGAAGCAGGTCAAAAGTTATAAATACCCTGCTCGTACGCAGAGTAGCAGTTTATCGTGAAGTATATCGCGAGAGTGTATCGTACAGAGTATCTGTTGTTTGTTGAGTTCAATAGTAGTGTTTTGACCTCAGAGATTAGCTTGACAGCGACCGAACTGAGCCGGTAGCTATATTTTAGTGCTTTGCAGTGAAACTGTCTTTACCGTAATAACTTGATACCGTGAGGGCTGTGTTGCTGATTGTTTCAGCTTGTTTGTCGTAGTTTTTCGACGACTGTAAAGGTATTTTTGGAAATGGATTGACTAAGTAATACTGGCTAATAAATTGTTTTGATTCTTTATCAAGTATTCTCATCAATCACTCCAAATCCACAAACGCGTAGAACGCGACAATACATTTTAAGTTAGTTCATTCTTAGGCGAAATTTATCGGGAGCGTTGCTAAGATAATTATTGTGAATTTAGTGCTTTGCAATTAGTGATTAAGTTAAATCATTATCGTTAATCTTCATTAAACCAATTTATCATCAAAGTAATTATCATAATATAAGGTGATCATGTTAAATTTGGTTCCTTTTCCACTTTTGTACTGCGTAGGAGTTCAGAAATGGGTGTGGGTTCAGTTTTGATTTAATTTATTTTCATACCTGTATTCTTTAAGTTGGTTTTAAATTGTTTGTCTTATATAATTGTTCTTCAAATCGCATCTGTATTCCTAATAAATAGACAACAGAATAGAAAACTTCCCAATCGCATTAAACTAAGTAATATTTAAATTCAAATAATTCTCCCTGTCCATATTTACCTTTACTTCTAAGAATTGTTAGATATCTCTAAATTTCATTAACTTTATTTTCAACATCCTTTCTTTTGCTAATTCTCACCTAGCATTTTAATACAATCGCATCGGAAATTCCATACATTTCCGAACACTTTTGAGTGTACACGTTATCGCATCTTACTTTAATTAGAATGGAAAGTTTGCGGCGCTTAGTTTTCGGGAAACGATAATTAAATCCGGGAATTTATTTCGGAAAAAAAAATCATTTCTCTTATAAGCACACTGTAAAGATAATTTGATTTTACCCAGACTTTATTAGGGTTTTCATATTTAATCTTAATTTGTATAGAAATCTTTCCTGCTTAAAAATCTTTCTTGCTTTATCGTCGTTTCCATACACATATTAGCTACCGTGCCTACTTATGTTCTTACGAAAATGCTTCGTTAGATCGTTGTTGTATAGTTTAGATATAAATATAATTAAAATTGTATTAAAATAGGAATAAATTTCTTTAAATTTAAAATAGAAATCCTTTGATTTTGCTCTCAAGATAAGGGTTCCATTTTGCGTCAATTTCTTTCCGGAAGAGTTGAAAACGTAACACAATTTTCAATTTCCTTATTTAATTTTCAAAACGTCGCTTCCAGTATGTTGCCAAACGCAAATATTAATGTCGTATTTTTAGTTTATATACTGTCGAATTCTAATAATGGGAAATTTGCCTCTAATTTCAGATATTTACGATTTATTATTTCGCGACATCAGATTATGTTTTGCTTGGAAGAGTATTCTATCGGTATGATGTCTGCTTGATTGTATTCTTAATAAAAATATATCGTACAATTATTTAATAATATCGCATATAGTTTCTAAAAAGAACTATAACTACTATTGTTCTAGCTACTCATAATTAATCCTTAAGCAGAGTAAGAAGGAATGTGTCTCGACAGAGACGAAATAATTACATATGGAAGGAGTTATATTAATTCAATTATTTTTCGAGAGTTATTTGAATACATGTAATAAATATTTCTCGCATGAAGAGCGTAATGGTATAGTGAATAGAGAATACTTATGCAATTTTGTCTCCATATTTAGAAAAGTATAATTTGCGTGTAACTTCTGTCAAAAGTATTTTGCCATTTGGAAAAATAACCATATAATATTAAATTGAATTTTTCTTCCAAACAAGCATATTTGA